ATTACGATTCAAATCTTATTCAGCGACCATAGAAATTAGAACATGAGCAAATCATTTGCTGTAATATAAAAATTCAACAGCTGATAAATTGGGACATATGATTGTCATCGGATTTATTGCTTTTTGCAGTGCAACTGATTACAAACAATCAATTGACTATCGAATTTGAGAAGAAAAATTGCATCAACACCCTTGCGGCGCTAGTTACCGGAACAACTTCCGGACCCTCAAATCGAAGACCTCCCAGGACTTAGTTTCCACCTAAGAATAAACCATTCCAACCAGTAGAAACCAAAAACCCCAGTGTCAACTCAGCGGATAATGCGACCTCAGTGCTGACACGCTCCTCGTGTCACCTGATACAACGGCTATTCCCTCCTCACCCCTGGGGGAGAGCCCCCAACTGAAAACAGTTTTGATTAAAAAAACAATGGTCTTGACGCTGGGAGTGGCTCACGTGCTCCGATAGAGAGCATCAGGCCCCCGCAGCTGACATGAATAATTCTATGTCCACCTTATGAACACAAAATGAAACAAAACGAATGCCAGAGAGGAGTATGTGGAGTTATCTGGACACGGACGAGTCGGGTTGCGTTGAGGAACGACCGTTTATCTGCTCAACAGCAAAACCAGAGCCAATAATCGTGTTTGAACGCTAGTCCAATGGTTGAGGAAGGCAGCGCGAGAGAGTTGTATTAGAGTTTACTCGGGCCCTCCTGGGTAGACTGTAATTATAGCGGACAAGTTTGCTACTGAAACTGATCCGTCCAATCGACGAAATTGCGTTACTTAGAAGTGTAGATTCTTCTTTCTTCGAATTCATGAGACGTATTAGTTTCATCTTCGACAGAAATAGAAACATTTCAATTGTCACACGGGAAGATTATATGGAGAAGCTGATATCAATGGGGAGAAGAGATTTTTTACTTTCCATTTAAATGAAGGAGTTGAAATCAAAACTCCTTCATGATCTTTAGTTCAGAGTGAGAGATATTCGAGGTGATGTTGGGAGGAAATCTGAAGAACAAAAAATAATTTTATAATTTTATAGTTTCTAATTTTATTAAAAAATAATTTTTGAAATTTTAATTGTCACACACAAAGATAACATCGAATATCAGATATCAATGGGGAGAAGATACTTTTTACTCCTCATTGAAATGAAGAAATCAAATTCAAAACTCTTTCATTATCTAACGATTTATTCGCGTAGTAAAATCTGTTGTTTTTATTAAACGTGCGTTTAGGTTAGAACGGGACAAACAATCCAAAACTTAAATTTGAACGATTACAGAGCTCCCGTTCGGAAGCAAAAATTCCCTATTAATCGAAAAACGGAAAATCTGAAATCAGTAGCGAAGCGGTAAACCGCGATAATTCAATTTTGACTTTTGGCCAGTTTTTGATGAATATCTCAAAATCTAAGAGAGATAGCAAAGTGTTTCTCATAACATTTTTTATAGCCCTCAATTGGCTCTAAAAAAAGGTCATGACAAAAAATTTTCTATCTCTCTTAGATTCCGAGATATTGATCAAAAACTAGCCAATAGTCAAAATCGACTTGAACCGGTTTACCGCTTCGCTGCTGAAATGTAATACATCTTCCGTAATTACGTAATTATCGCGAAAGTGAGTAATCTGTGCAAAAAACATCGAGAATATTTTTCAGCAGACATCCAACGCCCGTCATTTTTCTTCAGAACCATTTCTCTCAGAAATTCTTGCCACAAGACGAGTTAAATTTTCATCATCTCCCAATAACGGATCGCACTCGCATATTCTCATCGTTGAATATTCATGGTGCACGTTCTTCACATGTGGCGAGGCATCCGATATCTTTGGAAAGGGACATAGGTCCCACCGTCGGACACAGCCCGAGCCTGTCTCCACGCATCGAAGTCTCTTCGCTCTCCTCCCCTGCATTCCATCAGCCCGTGGGGCCTTTTGGCGATTCAGAGGTGTTCTAAGCCCCAATCGGGCCCCAATTCAAGTCCCCAAAGATCATAAAACCCTTCTCCCCTCCCCCAGTCGCGTCGCAAAGCCAAAATTCAAGAGATTTTGGGAATTTTTTGTTTTTCTCTTCCCCTTCGCCTCTGAATAAATTCGGGGGAGCAATTAAGCCGGGCGATTGTACTCCTCTGGAGTTGTTTTCGGGGCTCTGGAGAGCCTTCGCATGTTACGCCCATGTGAAGTAAAATGGGAAGGGTGTGGGAGTCGTTGCGCACAACCGGAAGGCTTCTGCACGCTCGTACACTGGCCGAGACTCATTTTTAGGTATCCCCAGGTCGAATTCCCATGAGGTAAAAACCCCTGGACGGGTAATCGTGAAAGTGGTCTGGCCTCCGCCATTTACTGCTGATTCCCCATGGGCAATTTGCGAATGGCAAATAACTTTCAGGCGTCTCGCAAGGATGTCATGCAGAATTACTAGAGGTTTTCTCGAAATGTTTGGAGAGACAATTTTTTTTCCGTTCTATTTTTCTAGGGAGTATTTACGGAGGTGACAGTTACGTAGTTTCAGGGGATGTTCATTACCTCAAAAAATAAGTAAAATTTATTATGTATCGGGTGACGTGAGAGAGGACATTGTATTGCGGTGTATCCGTAGAAAACAAGTTTTTCTTACGATTGTCATCATGTTTTTCATAGATAACGTTTATAATAGTCCCCACACTGAGAGAAAAACGAGAAAGTTCTCAACCGAGTCTTACTTGTGCCAAGAAAATAGTTTTTTGAAAATTATCAAAAAATGTCATTTGTAGCACTACTTCGTTATTCGATACTTCCATACGTATTTTGCTCCCAAAAAATCTTTGTTTTATGCGAAACAAGGGATAGCAGTTTTTCGTTTCGACTGTCTATAATAATCACAGACAAGAAATGAACCCTTAAATGAAACAATAATAATTATATGATAGTAATCTTGTAACTTAGGGATAAGATATTTGTTGATAAATTTTTTTCTATATGAGATATTTTCATCCTGAAAAGGCACCGTCTGGTGTGAATTATCCGCCTCTTGAGCCAAATATTTCGTTGCTGTCGAAAGCAGAACAAGTATTCACGTTTGAGACTTTCAAATTCGTACCAAATAAATTGTTTTTTGGCAATTTTCAACTAGCGATTTTGATAATGTGTTTGTTTTTCTCTCAGTTCAGCTATTGAAAAAAATTATAACTAGGTGTACTATACGGTTTAAGAGATAATAAATAATTAAATGCGGGATTCTAGCACGCGAGCCATACGCTGTTAGAAAGTTTTTGAAATTGCGTGGAAGATTTTATAGTAAGTCTCATGAGAGTGACATTGAATCGGATTTAGGGAAAAAATGATTATGAAATTGCAAGTTCTACGTAGAATTCACGGAGATGCATCAATTTTCAGTAGAACATGAATATTCATAAACAAAATGACATAAATTTTCCATTTTTCCTGATTTTTTGGAATTTTTCACAGAATAATTGAACTGAAAAATCAAGTATTTTATCGATTTCCAGATCATTTGAACAGAAAAGCAATTAAATATTCAAGATAAGTTAATTATATAATGGATGATCAATTGATAATAATCAATTATAACAATCAAACACGATGACAGAAAAAATTAGTTCTGCCGAAAAACTATACGTTCCACGTTAGAATATTTGATGTAGTGGAACAGATTTAATTGAGGGAAATTAATTAAAGATATACACTACTCAACAACATTCACTTGATAAGACCTGACCTCATATAATTCTCTGTAGAACGAATGCATTTACCCAAAAGACATCTAAATGTCTCACGATTACTACCACAAAAATTATCATGTTTTGGTGGAAACTTTCTTCTTGCCCACAAGTAAATTTATTCAACTCGACAAACCATCTCAATTTTTCAATAGAACTAATTTTTTCAGTCACTGTAAAATTCTAAATTTTCCATTTTCCAATTCCTCGAAATGTCCCAAAAATTCATGTCAAATTTATTAATGAAAAATTAATGAAATTTCTTTCCTTCTTGAACGAATGAATGACTGAACATAAATTATTATAAACTCTACCATCCAACCTCCCCAACTCCACTCTAGAAATTTTTAATTACTTCATTTTAATTGGATGACGCAATTAGAATGCGTCAAATAACGAAATTATCGCGATGAGAGTAGTTGGATTAATTAAAAATGTCCATCAGGGAATGCGAGGGGAATTTTAGGTGAATTTTGAATGTTAAAAAATCCTGAGCACGTTTGGTCATCGTCTGGCACTCCACCAGAACCCCTCGTGCCTTATACCTGCATTCCATTTGCGGGGGGTGTGTACGGGGCACGGGTATAGGCGGATTTGAATGCATCGGGCGTAAGGCATGCGCTCGGGGTCATGGGAACTCGAATAACTTGACGCTGTAGCAAATTGAGACAATGGAAATTTCGTTGATCGATATTTATTCTCGGATCATTAAATATTTCAGGACTGGATGCAATTCACTCCTAATTGACCGTTAGATTGAAACAATCTGGGGATACATAACTCCGTGGATAATTGAATTCACTGATTATTCACGGATTAATGGTTTAATCGACGATGATTTAGTGTTTTACAGGGAACTGATGAAGTGTTCTAAATTGAAGTAGAAAATTTTCGTCATTTCTTGCAGGAATTCAGACAGGGATGAGTTATTTCATAATAAAAGATGATAAAATTGGGAAAAAAATCTTTTGAGACATTTTTTTGAAATAACTCATATTGAAAGACAATTTCACGTTATTGCCTGAATTTTCAACATTTTCAAGGTTTTTCAGTGCCGTATAGACCTGAAAATCGAGAATTACTTCAATATTCAAGAAATTGACTGATTCCTCAATGAAGAATTCTCCAGAAATTTCCCGTAACTTTGTCATTGTCAAAAATTTCAAGCTTTCCCACTTGAAATTTCAAGTGTAATTTTCTAACAGTGAATCTGACCACCTGAAGGGCATCACTCGCACGAAAAATAACTTCCCATTTTTTGCCTGATTCCAGAAAATTGGGATTAGACTTGGTACCTCGTCAAGGAGCTCACATGGTGGACCCCGACACGATGTCCGTGGTGGAGCTCTACCACGTGGTAATTATCCCACGACTCCTGCCTCTCTGAAAAAAACGCCTCACCAAACAATTAATAATCCCTGATTAATTCCCCAGCACGTGCAGAGCGCGGAGAATTCCCAGGGCGCATCGGCCCGAGGCACATTACGCCGCAAGGAGCACAAAAAAGTACTCACCCATCACCTGTACTTCTGCATGCGTGACTTCGGCCACTCGGTGGGCGAAGACGCGGAAATTTACTTCTCCCTGTTCGATTCACGACGTGGACAGTACCTGAGTGAAAGATTTTTGGTGAAAATATCGAAGGAGGGCTTCTCGAATTATGTGGAGAAGTTGCACAGCAACTGCACGATATTCACGGACCTTGGTAATGCTGATCTGAGTCGTGACCTCTACGTGGTTGCTCATGTCATGCGATGTGGACGAATGCTTTATTCTGATTCGGGTAAGAATAAAGCAGGAAGTGCTGTTTACAGGAGGCCCCATGGGGTGGGTGTCTTGCCCCTGGCCGAGGCTGCGCAGGATCATGCTGAAGAGTTGGAGATGACGTTCAAGGTAAAATCAACAGGGGTTAACTGGGGTGCGAGTGGAAAGGAATATACGAGGGGCTATTCACAGGCGTAATCGTGGTGTCACTCGCTGATGTAATCAATTGTAATCCCAGTGAAATCAATGCAATCATTGAAATCACACGATTACCATATTTTTAATCAAGTTTTGGTAACCAAGTGGTAATCATTTGTAATCACTGTAATCATTTGTAATCAGTGTAATCTTTCGTAGTTGCTCCTAGTGAGACCGTGAATTTTGTTTTTGAATTTTCGAGCGCGTCATTTCTACCAACGGTAAGTCTCAGAGATCCCTGGATCAATTTTTCTTGGAATCCCAGATGTTTATGGTTCAGAACCTTGCATAGCCAATGGTTTTTGCACAGAGCATTTGTCCGTAGAAAATTGATTCAACAGAGTTAAAATTTCTTCTTATTCTGGAGAACCAACGACTGAATTATCTCTGAATTATCTGCTGGTAAGTTTCATTCTCCATCAATGGTGGATATTCAGTAAATTTATTTTGCTGATAGCACTTATAAATGCCCAAATTTTTAGATGGAGTGATGGAGACTGCATTTCTCTGTTCTAATCCCCGCCCCTCCTTCCTCATTTCTTTGCAGGTTCTAATAATTAATTATTCCATCAATTCATATTTAATAAGAGGCCATTTTTTGTTATTTCAATGATTACAGATGTTTGGTAATCACAGAATGTAATCGACGAAATCATTTTTAATCATGTAATCACGTTCTGTGCTCTTGGTAATCACGGTTGTCACATAGGCAATGGTAATCAGTGTAATTAGTCCTGTAATCCTGGGTAATCGATTACATTTTGTAATCGCGGTGTCACCCAATTCACCTGTAAATAGCCCCTCGGAGAAAGTTTTAATGAAGAACGTCCACATTTCGATCGCCACAACTTGAAAACTCTGACTCAAACTCGGACGTCCTACACACACTCCGGGATCATCTCCAAAACTTGCTTCATTCAGAAACGATTAATATTTAATATCCTCGGGAAAGTTGAAGCCTCCCAAAAAGGACAACTTCCAGAACTTCTGAAACTTCACTTATCCCAGAAATAAAAACTTCAACTCAAAGATCATTAAACTCTCACAGCAATCCCTTTGACCGAAAGTTTCTTCAACATTCCCCTCTCAAAAATATACTGAGGGGAATAACAAGAGCACTGTCAACTCCATGAACACGCAATCTAACAACAATAATGAAGTTTAGAGAATATGATGAGATGAAAGTTCGAAACTCGCACGAAAAAAAGGTGTAAACACCTGGCGATTTCAGTTGAACTTCTGTTAAAAATTCTTTTAGTTTTTCGCCCGGGTTTAGTGGGAAATTCCGCAATTTTAGGGGGAAAATTAATAGGATTAGATTTTTTACATAACTCATTCTGTTGAGATTCAAACATTTTTTTTTTTTTGAAAGAGTCTCAATTTCGAGTACCAAATTTTCACCACCAGAAGTCGATTTGGATTTCCATAATACAGAGACATTTTAATCTTCCAACTCTGAGTTGTGTTTACACTACTTCAAAATCATCTCTTGCTATCCCCCTACAAAATCCGCTGTAAAAAACCGCCAATACCATCAATCATTCACGACCCGAAAAAAATCCCCACACGGAGAAAAAAATCTCTCGAAAATTAGTGTACCTTCCCACTAACGCATGGGTCGTAACGAATGGGGCACAAATAAATAGAGAACACTCTACACAAATTAGAATTACTCTCTCCAAAATTTCATGTCCTGCACCCCACTTTTTTCCGCTGATTAAAAACTAGTCTAAGGAATCGCATTTTTATGGAACTAAAGACGAAAAACTGGCGGACCCCTCCTCATTTTAGTGTGCCACTCACTAAATTTTCGCCTGTGCTCCTTTACTAAGTGGGACCTCTGTGCTTTGAAGAATGAATGAGCCTCGTATGCACGTAGACTATCGTACAGGATTGCCAGACCTTGGCGATTTATAGCCAAAACCTGTACAATTTTAAATGGGGTGACGTCACGATCTGGTAACACTGCTATCGTATGGCGTTTAGTGGATTGGCACAGTAATTTTTGGATCCCCGAGCGCACGACTTTGTGGTGCACGCCTACTATTTTTTAACTTGTTTCCCCGAATTATAGGTGTGTTACATTTCGATTACCATTGTACCCCCTGACACGTCCCCGCGTTGGTAGGTAGCACACTAATTTTTGGCGAGACCTTCAACGAGATTGTCGTGTATTTTTTTCTCCGTGAAGGTATACCAGGGAGAAGAAAAGGAGTTCCACCAGCTCCACGAGCAGATAATCCGCAACAACAAGTGTTCCCCCCTCCCAGGGCAGCCCAACTACGGAATAGTAGTTTCCCTGCGGGTCCTCCACGGCGAGCTCTCCCAAGTCCGCGAGGAGAACCCCCTCCTCTTCAAGAACATCTGCCTAACCCGCAAGCTCGGCTTCCCCGACGTGATAATGCCCGGCGACGTGCGAAATGACTTGTACCTGAGACTGGAAAGAGGTGAATTCGAGCGCGGTGGCAAGTCCACCGGAAAAAATATCGAAGTAACGATGCTGGTCCTCGACGCGGAGGGCCAGCCCTTAGAGTCCTGTCTGTTCGGTGCAGCAGGGTCGGAGGGCAGCTCCGAGTACCAAAGCCTCGTTATCTACCACCACAACAGCCCCTACTGGGGTGAATCCGTGCGATTAGCAGTGCCAATAGACAAATTCTACGGTAGTCACATTAGATTCGAATTCCGTCATTGCTCGACGCGCGAGAAAAACGATAAGAAATTATTTGACTTTGCGTTTGTCCGTCTGATGGATCCGGACGGTGGAGCTACCATTCAAGACGGCTCGCATGAGCTCTTCATTTACAAATGCGAGGAACGTGCCAAATTGGATTCCCTCAGCTATCTTTCACTGCCAAGCAACGCTAGAGAACCAAATTATCCGGGGATTCCCCCGTTTACTAGATCCCCCAAAGAAGCTGTGTTCATAACGACTCTGCTGTGCAGCACGAAATTGACGCAGAACGTTGACATTCTGAGTCTTCTACAGTGGAAGGCCCATCCTGACAAGATATCAGAGGCCCTGGGGAGGGTTCTGAGGCTCGACGGAGAGGAACTCGTGAAGTTCTTGCAGGATATTTTAGACGCTCTCTTTGCTATGTTTCACACGGAGGACGGAAACTCCACGACGCACTCTGGTCTAGTGTTCCAAGTACTCGTGTCGATTTTTAGCCTCTTGGAGGACTCCAAGTTCGAGCACTTCAAGCCGGTGATGGACGCCTACATCTCCGGGCACTTTGCAGCCGCTCTCGTTTACAAAGGACTTCTGAGCAGCGTGCAGCACTGCGCGGAGTGGGTGACGGCCGCCGAGAAACAGGAGCCCATCATGAAGTGCTTTAGGTCGCTAGAGTACATCTTCAAGTTTATTATTCAGAGTAGATTGCTTTTTGCGAGAGCTACTGCTGGACAGTATGAGGACAGCTTTCGCAGGGATCTTTTCTCGGTCTTTGTGGCGCTTAACAAAATGCTCACGATTCCTTATGAGATGGTGCAGGACTCACAACGGGCGCTACTCATGTCCGTGTCTGCTGTCTTCGAGGAACTTACTCAGGTTTGTGTTGTTTGTTGGTGGGAATTTGAGTGAATGCGAAGGCATGCTTTGGAATTTTGTTTTCGTTTCTTTTTGTAGATTCAAAAAATAATAGATAGAAAAATGGTTCTGTTGAATCAAATAACAATCGTTATTTAAAGTTTTTTATTTAACTCAAGAATATTTTTGTTACTAATGAATATACTTGTTTACTTATTTGAAGAAAATGGATTTAATTATGATGAACAATTCATTTGTTGCAAATGAATTTTTTATTAAATTTAGAAAAAACCATTTGTTTATTTCAAATAAGTAGTTATATTATTTTAAGAAAATCACATTTTCGTGTATTTTGTGAAAGAATGTCGAAAGTGTGTTTCAACAATATTCGTGGGCTTTGAGAAAAAGGTCGTATGAAGCTAATCCAGGAAACGTAAAATCTGGACGATTTTAGTTTTCTCTAATCATTCTGATCAAATTTTTCGAGTTTATTACCATCTCAACGCAATAATAAATTATGAATAGAGGAGAGTGGGGCAAAATGAAACATGCGGCAAAATGAAACAGTCAAAAAAACGACTGTTTGACGCAATTCAAGCAAAAAAAAATTTTTTTTGTCAACTTTTTTTTATTTTTGGGAGTACTGATGACAATAATCATTTTCTATTCAGTAAAATGAAAAATTATTCTTCATTCAGCGAAATGGAAAATTATTATTCTCATCAGTACTCCCATGAATGAAAAAAAGTTGATAAAAAACCATTTTCAATAAAAAAAAAATTTTTATTTCAATTGCGTCAGTCATTTTTGTTTGACTGTTTCATTTTGCCCCACTCTCCCCTATCAAATGAATATTATTTAGTTCCAAGAAGAACTTTATTATAAGAAAACATTCATTTAATATAAACAAAACTCCGAATAAACATTTTTATTTAATAAAATCCAATGGAAATAGTGAGATCTTTTAGATTATGAAGGAGAAAAAACAATCGAGATAACGTTCGAAAACTAATCCACCCGGGCCTTAATTGGCCGAATTCTCGATCCAAATAAAGGTTTTTAATTATTTATGAAATCATCATTTAGCACGTGAAAAAACAGAATTTATTAACGAATAATAATCCTTCATTGCGCTATCATTGAAATAAAAGTAAAATTTTGAAATAGAGTTTTATTCGCTTCTAATGTTCCATAAAAATACTCATGCAACTGAAGCCATAAAATTCGACTATCTAAGAAACCAAAATTACCTTCTGCTGCTTCCAGCTTCTTCCCGCCCTCGAAGTAGCCAAATTAACCTGCACAATGCTGGACTCAATCCCCCGAGACCCCCCGCCCCAGCTGATCCAAGCAAAGCTCCTCGCCATAAAGAACCTAGTGACATCGTCCCTCTTCCAAGACGACGAGAGTCGCAATCTCCTCCTCTCAACAATGTGCCGACACTTGAAGATTCACCTGGCGAGAAGGGAGGAGCTCAGAATGTGCACTGAGATCCTCGGGGAGATCCTCAGCTTTCTGCATAAACGAGGAAGAGACACAAACAAAGTGAATAATTGCATCCATCACGATATTGAAACATTGTGCATCTCTCTGCTGGATATTCTCGTGCAGACGATACTGATCATTATCAATGCTAATGGGCCTGTCCTCGGGTGTCTCGTCGCCTGTTTGATTGGTCTACTTCAGCAGCTCGATGAGTATCATTACGCGAGACTCTGGGAGGAGCTGACGAGGGGGGGAGAGAGAAAACCTCTCAAGGATTTTCTTCTCAGGGCTTTTCTCGTGCTCAAGGACCTAGTGCGACAGGAGATATTTCCCCCTGATTGGCTGGTCATCAGGATGCAGGCGAACAGCGTCATCCTGAGGAGTTTGGAGGAGCTGGCGCAGCCTCTGGCCTTCAAGTTCAGGCATGGAAATTTTGACTCTCAGCTGTGGTCCATGTACTTCAACCTTGCGGTTGCTTATTTAACTCAGCCATCTCTGCAACTCGAGCATTTCTCGGAGGTCAAGAGGGAGAAGATTGTGGAGAAGTATGGGGACATGAGGGTTCTCATGGGCTTCCAGATACTCTCGATGTGGTCGAACCTGGGGGAGAAGAAGCTGGAGTTCATTCCTGGAATGGTTGGACCCTTCTTGGAGGTGACGCTTGTGCCGGAGAGCGAACTCAGGAAGGCCACTCTGCACATCTTCTTCGATATGATGGAGTGCGAGCAGAGGGCCAGGGGCAGCTTCAAGTCTGTGGAGTCGGAGCTCATTGATAAACTGGATATTCTCATCAGTGAGAACAAGGGGGACGATGAGTATCGACAGTTGTTTAATACTATGTGAGTATTCTTTGGGGTTTGGTGGGATGTGTGGGGCCATTAATCATTGTGGTTTTTTTTTTCATGCTGCAGGGAGCACCTCAGTGCTGTGTAAGTTTTGGAGAATTTGTGTTGAGTTGGGGTTGGGAACAACTGTGAGGGGTTCAGTTTTTTTGGGGTGATGTCGAGGTTTTGGTGATGGGTACTAGGAGTACTAGCCTAGGAGGTGAAACATTTCATGGGAAAAGCTTTTTAGTGAGATAAAAGTTTTTTTGAGAGAAATTCTATTGAATTTGATCTGAAACGTCATTTTTTGTAGTTATTTGGGAGAAAAAGAGCTAATAGATCTTGAGTTTTCTATAGGTAATTCGTAGGGGGTTTCTCATGATTCAAGAAAAAAAAACTTGGAAAATTTTATAGTGGAAAATATTATGATCTGCAGAAAAGTTTTCTGATATTTTAGGATAATTTCAAGGATTTTATCGTTCACAATGAACTTTAGTATTCATCTTTGAAGAAATAGACTTAGAGAAATTCAGGATAAACTATTTTTAGATAAACTTTCATGATTTATAAAGAAACTCTCTTGAAATTTGTCTTGAAAGCCTTCAGATTTCGATCTATCCTCAAAACTAATCTGTGAATTTTCTGAAAGGTTGTTATGAGATTTACAAAAAATGATCTTGTGACATTTTTCCCTATAAAAATCCCCTTTCGAGATGAATGTATAATCGACGAAAATAAAAATCAATTTTTGGAAATATCCGTCAAATGAAAATATTTAGAACAATTTATTAGAAGTTTTTTACAGTCGAAAATATTATGATCTACAAACAAAGTTTTCAGACTTCTTAGTCTGAAGTTACCTATTCCCTAGATAATTTAAAAGATTTTATCATTCACACTGAACTTTAGTATTTATCTTCGAAGAAACAGATTTGGAGAAATTCAAGATAAACCATTTTTAGATAAAATTGAATCATTTATAAAAAAACTTTTGAAATTTTTCTCTAAACCCATCGGATTTCAATCTGTGCTGAAAACTAATCTGTGAAATTTCCTCCTAAAATCATCCCCTTTTGAGATGAATGTATATTCAACAGAAGTACAAATCAATTTTTGCAAATATCTTTCAAATAAACATGTTTACAACAATTTATGAGAAGATTTTTAGAGCAGAACACATTATTCAAGGCAATTACATAATTAACAAAAATGTGTTGTAATATTTTGTAATTTTATCCTAAAATTATTTGTTTCCAACATCATTGCAAAATTAACAAAGATGTTTTATAAATATTTTGAAAGAAACTTTAGTAAATGAAATTTCATAATTAAAAAAAAACATTCTTAAAATTTTCTTTAAAACTAGGTATTAGATTTCGATTTCAGCTGAACATAATCTCTGAAATTTTCAAATTGTCCCTTTTCATCGTTAACAAGAATAATCAGAATAAACAGAATTATCGATTACCTCGCTTGATTCATTCAGGTTGTTAGATCGAGTGCAGTCCGAGGATCCAACCTGGAAGGACAGTGGCACCGCCTTCATTACCTCAGTGACTCGGCTTCTCGAGAGATTATTGGATTACAGGAACGTCATTCAGGGAGACGAGAACCGTGACAAACGCATGTCATGCACGGTGAATCTACTGGTAATAAAAACAAATAGCTCTCCTTGCACATCAACAGCCCAATACCAATGCTCTCAATTAAAACCCCTGTAAATTCTTATCCTAAAACAATTCACGGTCCGGCAAATGAGTTGTTAACGCTCTGCAAATCACGGCGATAATTGACCGTGAATTCTACCAACGCCACGTGGCCGGGGTCTTTATAAGGATCCCTCCCTCATTAGCAGGCGACAGTTAACGATCAGACACGTATTCACGTGATAGCAAATTTATTTCTACTAACATTACACTTTTCATTGACAAAAAAAGACCCAGAACTTTTTTCTTTAACGAAAAATTGATCTGAAAAATCTAAAAATGTTCTTTTTTCCTTAAAAATAAATTTAAAAGTTTCTAAAACATTTTTATTTTCACTTTAAAAGACCTAAAATTTTGTAAATGGTTCTTCTTCACTCTAAAGTTATCTTAGAAAATTTATTTCTACGAGCAATACACTTTTTAGGGACGAAAATGATCTAGAACTTTTTTTAAACTAAAAACTGATGTAAAAATTCTAAAAACGCACTTTTTATTGACGAAAAAAGACCCAAAACTTTTTTTTTACAACTAAAAATTAATTTAAAAAATCTAAAAATCCTCTTTTTTCATTAAAATTAAATTTGAAAATTTTTAAAACATTTTCATTTTTACTTTAAAACATCTAAAATATTTTAAATGGTTTTTCTTCACTCAAAGGTTATCTAAAACCTTTTAAAATTTTGTTTCTCCAATAAAAATTGACATTAAACCCATAAAAATAATCTTGAGAATTGAAAATTTCTTTGAAACGTCTGAAAATGTCTTCGCATCATTGAAAACTAATTTGTAAAAATCAGCAACTGTGAAAGAAAATAAAAAAATGGGACCTGTTTCCCTGTTCCTCCAGAACTTCTACAAAAATGAGTTCAACCGCAAGGAAATGTACCTCAGGTACATCTACAAGTTGCATGATCTTCATCTTGCGGCTGAGAATTACACAGAGGCTGGATTTACCATGAAACTCTACGCCGACCAGTTGAGCTGGGACTCGACGACGCTTCCGGCTGATCATGCCCATCCCCAACAGCCTGAATGGCAGAGAAAAGAGCTCCTCTATCACCAAATTATTCACTACTTCGACAGGGGCAAGTGCTGGGAGAAGGGCATTCCCCTGTGCAAGGAATTGGCGGTTCTCTACGAGAATCGTCTCTACGACTACGCTAAACTCAGTCATATTCTCAAGATGCAGGCGAAGTTCCTGGACAATATTCTGACGCAACTGAGGCCAGAGCCGGAGTACTTCCGAGTGGGATTCTACGGACTCAGTTTCCCACTTTTCGTCAGAGTGAGCAAATACAGTTTATTTATTTGATCTTGTCCTCTGGTGTTTGTGGTTGAGTTCAAAGAATGGGAGAGCATGGTGGATTGTTTTTTCTAGGACATCGCGCGTGAAAAAAATCAATAGAAATCGTAACGAATTCATTAGAAAATTCTATTGGAATTCTACAAGAATTCTATGGGGTTTCTGTAGGATTTCTATTGGAATTCAATTAAAAAATTCTATTTGTTTTTGGTGCTGATTCTATTGACTATTCGATAATAAAAAGTCAATAGATTTCGAATCTCTGTTTGGGATTTTCTCTTGAAATTTTTCCTATAAGAATGCTTGGGCATCAATTTTCCAAGTTTTTTCCACTTGGATTCTGTAATGCAAAATAAAACAAGTCCAGCGGAAAGAACTTGGAAAATTTATGCCCAATAATTCTAATAGAAAAAATCTCAAGAGAAAAATTTTAACAGAAATTCGAAATCTATTGACTTTTTCTTATCGAATATCTAATAGAATGAGCGCAACAAACAAATAGAATTTTTCAAAAGAATTCCAATAGAATTTTCTAGCGAATTCACTAGGTTTTCTATTGAATTTTTATCTAACCCATTTTGTCGAAATGACTTCAGAGAACCCGTTCTAGTTCTATTGAAAAATAGCCTCTATATGAAATACTGAGAGTGGAGAATATTATGAGCAAACGCTCTGTTTATTTGAATTTATTCTCACCTTGTTTGCGCCTGATCTGTCGGAGGGATAAAAGAAAATGTTTGATTTTTCCTTCCAGAACAAGCTGTTTATTTATCGTGGCCTGGAGTACGAGAGGATAGGTGCCTTCACTCAGAGACTTCAGACTGAATTTCCAAGTGCACAAATATTGATGAAAAACTCACCACCGGATGAGAGTATTATTTCCTCCGAGGGGCAGTGTAAGTTAAATAAATTGCTTGAAGAGGTACAAGTGAGGAGTCAGGAAGTGATGTAACGAGATCAGGCAATCTCTTTTCACCACAAATCTTTGCGGAATATCTTTGAATCAAAGCCGCAATGAAAATTTCGTACAGACATTTTTTGCAAATTTTCTCTTAGTCTACAAACAAGTTCAAGGAAGTCGGAAATTGCTCTTGTATTACACATAGAATTGTTACTTTTGCTAATAAATTAGCAATATACTTCCCAATTACATTTCAGTAGCGAAGTGGTAAAACGGTTCAAGTCGACTTACCCCCCAGTTGAGTTTTTGAGGAATATTTCCGAATCTAAGGGAGATAGCGAAATTTTCGTAATTACAATTGTTGCAGCTCTCAATTGGCCCTATAAAAAAGGTTATAACAAATATTTTGCTATCTCCCTGAGATTCCGAGATATTTATTGAAAATTGGTCAATAGTCAAAATTTACTTGTACCGTTTTACCACTTCGCTACTGATGTAGATACTTTGCACAATTTTCTGGAAAATTGAGCCAAATTTTTTAAGAAGTGTATCTTCTTCCCTGCAATGACCAAAAATCTTCAATCAACCTCATCGCGTTTCGGCACCTCCCATCAGTTGATTGTTCAACCCGAGGGGCCATTCATTTAGAAATCTGGTGACACAGTGCTTGCTGATTTCACGTGATTTCAGAAAGATTTCCACGATTTCATGCAATCATTGATTCCATGCGATTGCCTGAGATTTTTTTGGTGATTTCCCGATTTCAGACAAGTTCAAGTGATTTCAAGTGATTTCAAAATAACAAAATTTGCCCAAAAATTGACAATTAAATCGAAAGTTTCTTTCTCTTTTATGTATTCGAAAGGGTCTCATGAGTTGCTGATTTTATGATTTCATGAAATCACCTGAGGTCGATGAAATCCCAGGGTTTCACTGATTTCACTTGATTTCAACTGCCTTCGATCTATCCTCAAAACTACTCTGTGAAATTTCTTCCTAAAAACATCCTCTTTCGAGATAAATATGTATTCAACAAAAGTACAAATCAATTTTTGCCAATATCTTGAAAATAAAGATGTTTAGAGCAATTCAGTAGCGAAGTGCTAAACCAGTTTAAGTCGACTCATTTCCAAGTTAAATTTTTGAGAAATATTTCCGAATGTAAGGGAGATATCGAAATTTTTGTAATTACATTTGTTATAGCTCTCAATCGACTCTACAAAAAAGGTCATAACAAAAATTTTGCCATCTCCCTTAGATTCCGAGATATTTATTGAAAACTGGTCAATAGTCAAAAGTGACTTATACCGTTTTACCCCTTCGCTACTGAATTTATACATTTCATACGATTTCAGTCCTGCGTGACATCCTGATTTCACAAAAGAGTGGCCCCTCGGTTCAATCCAATAATCTTAGTTGACCCCTTCCCTTTCAGTCATCCAGATCTGCAACGTCAAGCCAATCCCCGAAGAGTCAAGCCTAGCCTGCAGTTCCTCCGAAGTCCCAGATCGCATAGTCGCCTTCTACCTGGTCAACGACGTTCGCAAGTTCACGTTCGACCGTCCCCTCCACCGAGGCCCAGTGGACCGTGAGAACGAGTTCAAATCTTTGTGGATCGAGCGAACGACTCTCCTCACCGAGGCCAAGCTCCCAGGGATCCTGCGCTGGTTCGAGGTGATCGAGCGTCGATCGGAGCTGCTGGCCCCAGTGCAGTACGCCTGTGAAACAATGCAGAACGTCGAGACAGAATTGCGAAGACTTGTTGCCCAGTACACAGCAGAGCCCCACAGGAACATCAACCCCTTCAGCATGCGCCTCCAGGGGATCATCGATGCTAACGTGATGGGGGGCATCACCAAGTACCAGGAAGCCTTCCTCACCGCAGAGTTCTCGAGGCAGAACCCGGAGATGGTGCCCCACGTCAATAAATTGAAGAACCTCATTCTGGACCAGATGAGTGTCCTGGAGTCGGGATTACTTCTACATGGGCAGATAGCACCCGCTGGGGTGCAGCCCCTGCACAAACGACTGATCGAGAGGTTTGATTTTATTTTATTTGAAAGCTCTTGATGCATTTATGTATGAACAGGTGCCTAGGAATTCCAATAGAATTTTCTAGCGAATCCGCTAGGTTTTCTATTGAATTTTTTCATGCATGTTCAATTTTTTTAGTAGATCATCAAATTTCCTACAGAAAAAGTCCCTTAATGTTTCTCCCTGGAACGATTCACTCCGGAGACAGTTGCGTGATCAACAGAAATTTCATTCTTAAAAATAAAATTCTGTAGTTCGCCCAAAATTGCTGAATTGATTTGTCCATTTTATAGAAATGGGTTCAGAGAACCCGTTCCGGATACAGTGAAAAGTAGAATAAAATTTTGAATTTTCAGTAAGGAAATTGCTTAGAATTTCAGTGAAAAACGAAATTAGAACAGTGTAAGGTGTTATGGAAAATCATTAAATTCCAGATTTCACTGGAAATTCAACGGAGTATTGAATTCCATGTGATGTTTTATTTATTAATTCTGTAAAATTTCAATGAAACAAAATTTTTTGACAGAGTAACGTGTTAGAGGAAATGATAACACTTCAAGTTTCACTGGAAATTCAATAGACTTTCAATTTTTTTAAGCAACAGGAAGACGAAAATTCCCCATTTTCGTGAATTTCTAACCAAAATATGAATATTCAGTACCAAAGTCTGCTGGTAAAATAATTTGTAATTAATTGAAAATCGAAAAATGTATTCACCTGAATTATCCTGATTTCCATTAATTTCCGTGGAAATTGATAATTGAATGATTGAACTGAAATTGCGAGCTTTCATTAATTAATCCTTGAAAATTAGAATTTTCAAGGACGAAATTTCTTAAAATTTCCGCGGAACTAATATGGCAATAAAAATTTTCAAAAGGTCTACTGGAAATTTCGTTGAAAAATCTTAAATTTTGAGTTTTCAATTCTATTTATCTATTCTTCAATTTCACCAGGTTCACTCAACTGAAGCAGGGATTAGGATCCCTCACTAGGCAGAGAACAGTCCACCAAGACAGTATTATAAACTCCCCTCTACCCCCTCTTCCCATCAACGAGAAGCAGAGGCCTGCGACCTTGGAGACCATTGGCTCCAGGATGTCCCACGCAGACAGTGACGGACTCCCGGAGGACGAGGGGTTCTACACAAGAGTGGACGGAGCACCCCCGCCGATCCCCCAGAGGGAAGTGAGGCCGAGATCCGTGGGGTACGGCTCCACTCCCCCCCGTCCCACCCACCACAGGACCCTGAGCAAACCCTTGAGTCCTAAATTACCCCTGAGGCACTCCCTCCCAACTCCCACTGAGGGCAACGAGCAGGCGAGCATGAGGAGCTCCTGGAGCGAACCTGGACCTGAACAGGCCCCTCCTCTGCCCCCCAGGGGCTGCACCCCCGACAAACGGGAGGTGGGGTCAGCACCTCCTGCTCCTCCGAAGAGATTAGTCCACAAGAGGAACGAGTGGAGCACTGAGGACGACGGCGAGGAGGGAAACGATCTGAGGGACAGTGGGATATCAACGACTAGTTTGTTGGATTTTCAGAGCCACTTGAGCCATTTGAATAATCTCAGTTATGAGGACTTTGAACCCAGGTCCAGGAGCAATGATATGATGAATATTTCACCGCCTTCTGTGATAAGTGCACTGAGTGTTTCCAGTGGGAGCTTCGCTGGGGCCAGCCTCCAGGGGTCGACAACTATTTTGAGTCAGGAGGTAATTATTTTTTGATTTTTTGTCATTTTTCAGTTCTAGTCATCTTATTTATTCCAAGTTGCGTGAGTAATGGAATCATTGCAAATTGTTGGATAATTTGGGGTTGACTGAGGTTCAAACGAAAGCTCTCATTTTGGACTGCAAATGTTGAGGAGAATTTCAGCGAAAGAGAAAATAAGACAAAAGCACTTGGCCATCTTTAAGTTGAAAACCATGGGATGAATGAAGTAAAAATTTTTTCCCAAGCAAATACTTATTTATTCCTGCTATCACATCGTAAAATAGGCAGAACAAAAATTAACCCGGCTGTGTGGCGCAAATTTTTCATCACAAATTTCCACATAATATTCATCTGAAAATTTAACACAATTTCAAACCGAATATTCCATGGATTTTCCAAGTGAAAAAAAATCCACTCCACATTCAACATTCTTTGGCTGAAGGCCCTCGGGCGATGGCCGAAAAATTATCCTTAAAATATTTAAAATATATTCTTGATGCTTTCAGAAACATTGTTCATCACTCGATGGAAATTTATAATTTCCATCGATTTTTCCATCAAATTGTGACTTTTCAATCAAAAAATTCTTTCACAATTCCGTGAAATTATCACTTGATGAAAATTTCTAAGAAGTGTACTAAAAGAAGAAATTTCTAAGAAGTGTTTCTAAAAATTCACACAATTCGCTTTGAAAAAAAACTAGAATAAGGTAACATTACCATGAGTGATTGTAGTGGGGAAGGGGAGCTCAAGCTGAGTCTTTAATTCCAATTTCTATCATTTTTGCAGTCAAGTCCACCTCCGATTCCACCGAAAGCCAGCCAGGACCTCCCCTCAGCGCCATCAACCCTGGAGCGACCCTCGAACCGTCTCCACGCAGCTGCACACGCTGAAAACTACTCGGTACCCAAACTACAGGCCCTCTCAGTCGCCTCAGACACCGAGAGCACCGTCTAGCATCATCCTAGTCCTTAGCAGTTAGTCCCACCGTCGAAATCGGGAGCGTAACTATTTAATAAGCTACTTTAAGCTTGAATAATTCCGAGTAGGCTTGTCAGCTGCAGATCCCTCATTCCAATGTCGTAAAACAGGGCAATTCAATTTCCCCTCGAGATCGACATACTTTAACACCGACAGTGCATTTCTTGGACAAAATTACTTATCACATCCAGTGCAGTCCCTTCATTTTTTAAATTTAATATTTTGCATTTCGACTTTGCCTCCAGAAATTGTAATCCTCACTTTTTAACGAACACCTTCTAATCAAACATTCGTGTTTCACATCAAGAATCGTACTCAAATGATCATGAAAAATGAAAATCGTCTAGTATCTTGTACGAAGAACATCAAATCAAAATATTTTCCCCTCGAATTTTATTTCCCTACACTGAGAGAAAAGCAAACACGTTGTCAAACAAGTCTTGTGTGGGCCAACACAATGGCTAGTTGAAAATTGCGAAAAAAGAATTTGTGTAGTTCGAATTTGAAAGTCTCAAACATGAATAATTGTTCTGCTTTCGACAGCAACGAAATATTTGACTCAAGAGGCGGATAATTCACACCAGACGGCGCCTTCTCAGGATGAAAATATCTCATTTAGAGGAAAATTTATCAACAAATATTTTATCCCTAAGTTACAAGATTGCTATCATATCATTATTATTTTTTCATTTAAGGGTTCATTTGTTGTTTGTGATTATTAGACAGACGAAACGAAAGACTATTATCCCTTATTCCGCATAAAACAAAGATTTTTCGGGAGCAAAATACGTATGGGAGTATCGAATAACGACGGAGTAGTGCTACAAATGACATTTCTTGCATCTACAGAGAATGAAATTTTTTTTGAACTACTAAATCTATTTTTGCGATAAAATTTTTTCATTCCGGTGCGCTCTCTGCATGTTTGGCACAAAAAAAAATCCTTTTTTCTTGGCACAAGTAAGACTTGTTTGAGAACGTTGTCGTTTTTCTCTCAGTGTACCGTCCCCGTGGGATCTTGTACGAAGATTGGACTGTATGGCTTGTAATTAGAATTTGGGGCGTAGGGAATTTATGTAGACAAGATCTTGCTGCAAAACATCACATGTGTAAAAAAAATTCCGGGATTCAATTGTGTGTAATAGCTCATTTCAAAAAGAAAATGCTGTATTGACGTTGAAGTCTACCTCGAGATCGGTTTTTCTAGATTATCTCGAGATCTGAACGAGATAGCAGAATGGCTATTTAATCCTTTTTTGCGGCCCCGACTTTGCTCTTCAAAAAAGCTCCTATGAAAATTCTGCCATCTCCAATAGATTTGAAGATATTCAGCTGAAATTAGTCTCCATTTGAATTGTCCTGTTTCACTATGCCAATGATTTACGGTTACAGTACTGAATGTTACGATGATTGAATCATTTTTTGTTCTTGTTTTTTCTTGTTCTTGTTTTTCTTGTTTTTGTGTCTTGGGGACTTGTGGGGCTCGTCACCAGCCACGTCCTCGTCGTGAGTCCTGGGTTATGCTAAGTGTTGGTGAGGATCGAATTTCTCACCAAAAAATCAAATGGAAAAACCTAGCGCTTTCTAGGTATTTCTAGATATTCTAAGAAATTCTATTACTTATTGCTTTTCTATTTGAACTCTATGAAAAATTTATTGGAATTTTTTAAAATTAAATTCATTGGAGTTATATTAAAATTCTATTGACATTCTCTGAACATTTCGATTTGTTTTTTTTTATTCTTCAATGAAAAATAGTGAATAGATGTTGATTTTTAACATTAGTTATTCTGGTGACATTTTCTATGGGAATTTTCGAGAATGAACTTTCCTAAATTTGAGAATGAAGAACAAAAAAATATTTAAAAAATTAAAATGTTTGTATCAAAAAATCACATGGTAAATTTGCATGATTAAAAAAAAAACCTCCACGACAACCGAATAGAATTGTTGAACAGAATTCTGATAGAACTCCAATGAAATTTATTACAAAACAAACAAAAAAATAGAAAGGCAAATCAATGAAATTTGTACTTTTCTAAATTTCATTTTGAAAAATCAAAGAAATACCTTGATATACATCAAAATTATAAATATGATAAACAAAAAAAAAGGAATCACGATTCAAGATCGTAATATTTAGTCTGTCAACTCTAATCCCCAAAATCCTAGATCACCTTTTTTTATCGCAATCATCGTACCCCAGTCCCCCCAAAAATCTATTTTTTGTAATTTATTTATAATTTCAAACAGGAAAAAAAAAGAAATGGCGAATCTCTTTTGTGCTGGTAGTAGATGAAAACTTTGAATACAAATTTCTAAGGTCAATGTATTGAACGATAGTCTTGAGATTAGGATATATATAAATTATGTATTTTGTCATGTTTCTTCGTATAAATATATACAAAAATCTTGAGTATTATGGGGCCCTGAGTTTTTGTCACCCAGGGCTTTACAAAATTACAATTTAAAAATGGATAAAAAAAGCCATAAAAAACATTTGTAAAAAACTTAAGAATTACATAAAAAATCTGAATAAAAGAATGATCAAGAAAAAAAATGTGTGGAATGTTTACATTGCACGATACTGAATTGATTATGGAATAGACAATTATATAGATTAAGTACGATTATTTCGAAATGAGCAAAGAGAGATCATTTACTGGGCTTCTCCAGTCACTGCAATTGTCGCTGTACTTTTACTTGTCATTAATTCTTATTTATAAAATTATTAGACGACAATTTAATTAACGACAATTGCTCTGTTACCCAGTGACTAATTAATTAAATTCTCAAGAAAGCTAAATACATTGATTGAGGATGGGAAATAAAGCATCTTTTAGGCTTACGTACAGGCACTCACACATACAGGCTAATGAATTACATATGGCTTAAATTAATTTTGTCTCCATTTCATCAAGTACAGTAATGGCCACTTAAAATATTGAATTATCTCTCTCTCTCTCTCAGCCTCTGTTCATAATTTACTCTCTAAATTCTCTGCTTCTTCTAATTTTTTGTAAAATTGCATTTAAAAATGGCTAAGCCTTAAGGTATTTCAGTTTGTACGGTAATTTCCTTGTAGACGGAGTCTCTCAAACCGGTGTCTCGGCGTTAGTATCCTTCCTGAAAAATGACGATACTTTTTTGAAAAAATGGGGAGAGTCTGGGGTGTTCGTTAGGCTCGGTGGGAGGGATTAGGTGGGGGGAGATATTACGGAAGGATAATCTCACCTCTTCGCTGTTGTTGATAACCATCACCATTTCCAGGTAAGCAGATTATTAGAGAAAAGATACTGTTAGCTGAGAATGTTCCAACCCCACCTTGGAAGGAGTTTTATTAATACATGAGAAAAAAGCGAGAACATAAAAGTCGATTTATGTAAATTAAAGTAAGCGATTTGGATGAAATTAGTGGATTTAATTTTTTCGGGAAAGTGGTAAGGGGAGGTACGAGGATTTGAATTGAGACAGAGAATTTTTGGGTGGAGATTGGCCTTGTAGTAAAGTGAGAGCTGCTAGGAGAATTCTTCTGGAAATTTACAAAAAATTGTCCGGAGAAAACTACTAGTTCAGTAGCGAAGTGGTCAAACGGTTTAAGTCGAGTCTGACTATTGGCCAGTTTTCAATGAATGTCTCGGAATCTAAGGGAGATAGCAAAATTTTTCTCATAACCTTTTTAGTAATACGCAATTCGCTCTGCAAAAAAGGTTATTATGAAAATTTCGCTATCTCCCTTAAATTTGGAAATATTTCTGGAAAACTCAACTAAAGACTAAATTGACTTGAACCGTTTGACCACTTCGCTACTGAGTTATTTTCTCGCATTAATCATGAGATCATCTCGGTAATTAACAATTTTAGAGAGAAATGTCTGGAGACATTTCTCGTTATCGTCTGATATAAAAGAGGCCTTTCGACGTTTTCTTCTTCACATAATTTCTTGATAAATAAAGCAATTCAGTAATATATTTCTCGATTTTATAACGATTAATTTGGAAATATCTCTGGAACTTGTAAACTCATCAAAAAACGTCGAATGATCGCTTTGTGAGGGCCTCGAGGGAATTTTTATGAATCTCTTTCTGTAGTTCTTTTTTCACTCTAGAAAAAATTCTTCAGAAAACTTCGCTCTCTTTCTCAGATTCATGAATATGCATCAAGACTCATCTTCTAGTCATGTTAACTCATCACATTTCAACACTTTGCTATTGAAAGCATCTCCAATCTCAATCCACATTGTTAGGAAATGACTCTTGAATTTCACGTAAAATATCTTGAAATTTGTAGCGACTGATTAACATGAAATTTTCATCTTTATTTTTAGGGATGAATCAGTTGATTTCTGATGTATTCAATAAAATTTCAATTTAATGAATATTCTGGTATCTATTCTCCAAAATTCTCAATTTTTAAAAGTGAATTAATTTTAATGTTTAATTGTCACAAATTTTGAATATGAAGCAGTACAAATATCAATAATTCAATGAATTGAATTCAAATTTCCTACATTGAAAATTTCAGTTCTATTCTTTAAATTTCTAAAAATCTCTAACAGTGCATTTTTCCATAGAAAACTCAATTTCATTAAATTCCCAAAATAATTAAGAGTTCTACGAATGATTTGATGTAGAAATCATCTTGTTGCCTTCAAATTCTCAAAATTAAAGCTTCAAATTTAGTTCCTTAAATTTCTAAAAATTTCTAACAGTGGAATTTCCCACAAATAAACTCAATTTCACTGAATTCCCAAAATAAATCAGCCAATTCCCAAATAAATAATTCCATGAATGATGTGATTTCAAATTGAACTCAAATCTTCAACAATAAAAATTCAGATTCTCTTTAATTCTTTAAGGGGTAACAGAATGCCGCTATTTTGCCAAATTTTTTAACAAATTTGCTGCTGAAAATTATCGATATTTTTACAAATCCAAGCACATTAATCTCCCGGAAGCGATGATAAAGATCAATGTGCTTTGGGTTAAAAAATATTAATAACTTTGAACAGGAAATTTATTGGAAAATTTCGAGAAACCGATGGCCTTCTGTGACCCCTTAACTGAGGGTTAAAATCTTTGACAGTGCATCTCCTATATGTTAAATTGCCTTAAAATTCTCAAAATTAAAGCTTCAAATTGAGTTCCTTAAATCTCTAAAAATTTCTCCCAGCGCATTTCCCCACAAATAAACTTAATTTCATTGAATTTCCAAAATAAACAAAAAATTCCACGAATTATATAATTTCAAATTGAGCTCAAATCTTCACCAGTAAAAATTCAATTTCTTCAACCTTCCCTTCAACTCCTCAACCGCGGGGTCAAACCCCTGACAGTGCATCACCTTCCCTTCCCCCCCACTTCCGCCGCTATCCCCCATTCACCTTAAAACCCCCACCAATTCCTCCCAAAGAAACCCAAAAATTCCCCAGAGAAACCCAAAAAACTCACTCGGTCTCAGTGATTGTCTGCCCATAATGCTGCTGATGCTGCTGTGCCCTGAGGGCAGCCAGCTCTCCACTGTGATGAAGATCATGACTGAGAGAGGTCCCCAGCATCCTGCCGCCCATCGGCAAGATNCCCCCCCCCCCCCCCCCCGCCACTATCCCCCATTCACCTTAAAACCCCCACCAATTCCTCCCAAAGAAACCCAAAAATTCCCCAGAGAAACCCAAAAAACTCACTCGGTCTCAGTGATTGTCTGCCCATAATGCTGCTGATGCTGCTGTGCCCTGAGGGCAGCCAGCTCTCCACTGTGATGAAGATCATGACTGAGAGAGGTCCCCAGCATCCTGCCGCCCATCGGCAAGATATACTCGGGAGCATCCAGCACGGTGGCTGTGATTTTCCCCCTCTTGAGGCTGCCATACCTCTCCGAGCCACTCAAATTGTCATGATGAGAGCCATGGAGACTGGTCCCCCTCTTGAGGCTGCCATACCTCTCGGACCCACTGTGATTATCATGATGGGAGCCCTGGGAGTGGTGACTCAGGCTGGACCCGAGGATCCTGGAGCTCATGGAGAGTATGTAGGGAGTGGGGGAGACCGTGTGGTCCTCCTCAGCAGTGTAAGGGAACAGGTACTTCTCCCCGATGTGATGGGGCTTCTCCTCCCCCTCAGAGCAATTCTCCTCCAGCTTCTGAGGTGAGTTGATGTCAGGATATGGGAGGGGATTGGGGCTCGAGGTCTTGTTGGACGCCATTTCGTTGTCTGAGATGGTGCCTCCAGACCACTGACTCCCCCTGATGTCGACATTCGTTGGTAAATATGCCTCGGGGAGCTGCGAGCTCCAGCGAGGGGCGTAGATGGGCTTTATGTTGGGAAAGAGTTCGGTGTTCGAGCAGAGGATGTTCAAGTGGTCACCAGAGGTCGGGTGGATGTTGGGGAGGTAGTTGCGGGAGACTGGCTGCTGGTTGGAGACCCCCATGTTCTTGTGAGACCTGGAGGTCACCTCGTCGTCGTCGGAACTGTGGGAACTGGCCAGGTCCAGGCTTCTGCCTCCACCTCCTTGGGACCCATCTGAATCAGACTCTGAGTCTCTTCGACTTCCTCGGGGCTCAGGGTTTTCTGGAATTTTTTGAGGGTTTAGCGATTTTGCAGCAATTCAGTAGGAAGTGGTAAAACGGTTCATGTCGTTTTCAATAAATATCGCGGAAGCTAAGGCCAATAGCGAAATTTTTGTCAAGACCTTTTTTGTAGAGCGAATTGAGAGCTACAAAAAAGGTTATTATGAAAATTTCGATATCACACTTGGATTCGGAGATATTATGGCGTGTTTTATAATTGAGGAGAATATAATAGATTTTTTAATAGATAATTGAACAATTTCTGTGAAGAGCGTGGCTTCGAAGACAAATGCTGAGAATTTTTATGTGAATAAAAAATTGTCATTTGATGATTCACGAAATGTAAAATCTCATTGGAAAATTTGAATTCTTTCTTAATTATTTGATTATCTCGGAAATTGAGTAATTATTAAATTAAATAATTATGGAGAATCATGTGGGAAGATCTCGTCTGGAGAGAATAGAATTCTTTACGAAAATATCTTCTGCCTTTTGAGGATATCAGAAATTAAACAATCTGCACATCTCTTTTGGGCTTGAATGCTGAATCGAGATAATTACTTGATCAAATTATGTTAACGCATTCAAATTAATCGAGGGAAACAATGGAATTAAATCGTTCGATGCAAATGATAGGATTGAATCGCCTCAATTTGAATAATAGTTTCATTGAATGCTTGTTTGATGGAATTGCTCAAAGGAAATTAATTCAAAGATATTCCAATTAATCAAATTACTTAAACAATCCAATTCAAATTTGCAGAATTACTTGATGGAACAGAATGACTGCGCATTGAATAATTATGAGATCAAATTATTTGATTGCATAATTCAGATTAATGCAACTTAATCCAGAATACAATTAAATTTTCATGAACCAGATCACTTCTCTATCAAATTTGTAGCAGTTCTATAATAAGTACAACGATTCCATAGAACTTTTTCTGCAAATGACTTTATGAGAGAATAATTTCATCACAAAATCTGTCACGACGAATTTTTCTGTTTCTTCTGAAGATTAATTAATCAATACGAATCAGTATAGTAGTAAAACATAACAAATCAACCAGTCATACTTAATTAAATATAAAATTATCTCAATGATTAGTAATTATGACAGAAAAAATCACGACACTATCTGTTTGGAAATTTCTCCAGCTACAAAATAATGTTCTTGACATTTGTTCCTAAAACAGTGTGTTCTTGAGACGACTGGCCAATTAATTGAAAAGTCTTATTATTATGAAACATATGAATTAACTCATTGTAGTTCACTCCGGACGCTTTTGAAATTACATGAAATAATTGACACAACTCAATTGGACTTTTGCACGACATTATTTTATCAAATAAGATGATAAAATACGTAAACTAGATGAAAATATTTGACACCTATTTTATTATTTTGAAAAACATCTAGCATTTTTCATTCAATCTCCATATCCAGCAATAATATTAAAAAATCATGGAAAACTGATCAATTAAAAAGTCCTATAATCCATGCTCATATATTAACTCATCACAATTCACCGCTGAAGCTTTTCCAATTTCCTTGGATTTTTGCATGAAATTATTTTCTCAAATAAGATGATGAAATACGTAAATTGAATAAAAAATATTAGACACGTATTTTTTCATTTTAAAAAATAATGAAAAATTAAGAAGTCCTCACGTTTTGAATTGCCCTTAATTTTGGATTATTTATCACCACAAAAAAGAATTTTCATCACAATGTGACGGAAATTGAACTTTTAGGCACGCGGAGTGTGCCGAAATTGGAAAAATATTGTTCGTAACTCGTGAAAAAATGTTTTTTGCACTCGTTACGAAATATACTATTTCCATTCAATCATCATATCCAGCAACAATATAAAAAAATCAATATAAATCCTCAGTCAATTAAAGAATCTTACAATCCTCGCTCATGTACTACTCATCCCAATTCTCCCCCGAGGCTTTCGAAATGACTCCAAGTAATATAGACAGCCCAATTACACACGAAATTACATCCCCATCAACTCATTGAACCCCCTCCAATTATCCAAATTACCTTGATGTACATGAAGATTGCTGTGATGTGCCCTCGTCACATACTGATCTCGATCGCTGTTGTAATTGCTGGTGCTGGTGCTGGTGTGCCTCAAATGTGTATCACTCCTGTAGGGGCTGGAGCCAGTCTTATTGGTGCTCCTGGAGGTGGTGCTGCTGGTGGAAACCCCCACATGGACCCTCCTGCAGGGGTCGGTCCCCGAGTAAGAGGCATATGCCAGGGCCGACCTGGACTGTCCATTGACATTCTGACTGCTGCTGGCATTGGCCACGCTCGCCTCAAGCAAAGGCGCTTTCTTCCCCACGCACTTCAGCAGACTCATATACAAGTTCCTCCGCACTCTTCCATTGATGAAACAATAGCCAATGAGGCTGAAGGCCGCGTGCACGAGGACAGCTACACTCAGGAGGTACGACAGCATCGGCGAGTTCTCGGATGCATTCAACACTGCGAGTGTCCAGGTGGTCCCCAATAACGGTAGGGAAGCCACTGACAGCCAGAGTAAAGTCCTCAGGTTCCCGAATCCCATGATGTGTTCCTTCAATGTGAAGGCTGCCTTCACGGACATGATTAGAATACAGAAATTGAGCAGGACAGCTGCGCAGATGGGGCCGATCAGGGCCCAGACGACAGTCTCGTAGATCGACAGCCAGCAGAAGTAGAAATTCCCGTACTGGTCAGCTCTGACTCCAATCGTTAAGCCCACTATTATGGCGGGCATTGCGTACCCCACGGTGTAGTAGAACCTGGAATGAGTTGACGATTGTAATTAATTCGACTCTTTTCGGATGTTACGAAAAAAGAAGAAAAAATAGTAATTTGGAAAAATAATTTCATCATGTTCTATTCAATTGGAAAAAAATGGTACATAATTTTGTAACGAACAAAAAAAGGGGGAATTGAATGAAAATTATGGTTCAAGTAGAGTTTTTAGGGTAAAAATACGAAGAATGATTTTGCGTTCGACTTCGAAGAATAAAATTGAGTATCTGTTTTTTTTAATACAGCATGGATCAAGAAGAAATTAATTTCGCTTATGGTCTATTTAATAGTAAAACAAATTGATGCATTTTTTTAAAACTCTAATAAACGAAAAAAGAAGGCTGAATCAAATGAAAATTGTAGTTCAAGTAGAATTTCAAGTAGAAAGGTCAAAACACGAAGATTGAAGATTTAGCATAACATCCGGGGTAAAATGAGTTGAATATTCTCCATAGTTCATGATAAAATTCTATTTAAGCAGCATTTCTAAGGTGAAATCAAAAAAATTGAAGTTTTAACATGAAATACGGGACAAAACGGGTTAAATCAAACCCTTTTTCTACTTTCCCAAGTTTCAGGGCGATATTTACAAGTGAAAATGACAAAAAGTCCCCCTTAATACCCCCTGAAATCAAATTAATCCTCAAATTTTTGTAGTTAATGACCAAAATGATTACAAACCTCATTTGTCCATGATTGACATCCCTCATCTCCGTCAACATTCGATAAAGATGAATTGAGTCCACTAGAGTCCAGGCGAAGGCGCAGAGCCACGTGTAATGCAGTCCAATTGCAGTTAATTTACAAGGAAATTCGTTGGAGACTAGAGGGCCTCTAGCTTTTAGCGCCACCAGGTATAGCAGTTCCGCCAGTAGCACGCAGAACACGAGGTTCTTGTGGATAGTGTTGGAGTTGGTGCCTCCTCCCCGGATCAGCCCGAGGATTAATAGAGCTGCGAGGAGCAGAGGGAGGGCGAGTAAGAATGAACTGTAGCTGGTCACGTCCTCGAGGAGCGAAGGCTCTGGGACGTACTCCAGGTCCAGAACATCGGTGAGAACAGCGAAGGTCGCCAGCTGGAGGTTCTTCACCTGGAGAATGACTCCCTGGCAGGAGCAGTTCACCATCTGTCGTCCTGAGGCATCGACTTCCTCGGTTTCGGTGGTGCAGCCTATTCTACTCCACTCGCCAATCCCTCGGGCTGTGCTCCAGTGGACGCACTGGGGGTTCGCTCGGAGCTTCATGCCGTCGTCTTCGATGATCCACAGTTGAATTTGAACTGGGGATTTTAGGGAGGAGCCTGTAGAGAAAAGAGGGTTCGAGGAATTGTGAGAGATGTTGGGGGTGGAGGCAATATCTGCTCAATTGAGACGATAATCAATGGCAAATGATTATTGTGCTTATAGAGCTGCGAACGGCCCCCGAAAAAGGCTTTAGAAAAGGAGAAATCCATCGTTAACGCACTAGTGGCTAATATTTTTTTCTCGGTAGATACTGACACGTAGATCAAATTTTTCTAATGGTTTTTTGCATTTCGATGGGACGCATATAGAAAAACACTGAAAAAAACCTTTGAAAATGTCTTTTTTCGAATTGTGAGGAAATGGTCAACTTTTTTAAATTTTTTATGAAATTCTTTTTCAAAACTTTCAGTGAGTTCTACATTTCTTGTTTTTTGTGTTTTTTCCATTAATCACGTCTTGAGCTCGTAATTTCAATCAGTTTATGAATGTTATTAAAAAATGATTGATTAAGCTGCTTCAAAAATTATTCCTATAGAATCGAGTTGGGGAAAAAAGTATAATTGCCCCTGTGTTGAATAAATATTCACGCCCCTCCTTTAGATTAATGTGAGTTTGTCTGCCTTTTCCCGCAAATATATTTGACATTCATCTTAGGTATATGTCCCATGCTTCCCCCGTTATATATTTTGTCCACCAGGAAAATAAAATTCTCGATATATAGAAACTTCTAAAAACCACAGAAAAGGAGATATTAAAATGTGCAAAACTTGATACATAAAATATCAAAGACCAATTTCTTTGACCCAATGAATTGGCTCGCCTCTTCCACCACTCCCTGACATTAACCACGGATGAAAAAATCGTATAGAGATTTTCTCTCGTGTTCAGACATCTTTCGTATGAAAACAAAAATTTATGTAAAAACGTATGTATACAAATAATTCGTATAGAAAATATTCATATAGAAATATCCGAATATCATATACGGAAATCCCATAGAATTTCTATGCGCAATCCATATAGAAAATTTCTATACGATTTTTTCATACGTGACGTGGTTTTGTCTTACCCCACAATGCATGCATAAAATGCTAAAACAACAGGGAATGTCTCCAAAACTCCTGCTAAAAAGCCTGTCTTACCTGACAACGCCTTGGACCCATTCTCCGAAGGAACGAGAACGGACACTGTCACCACTGGGGATCCAACGGCGACCTCCACCCCCCACCTGACGGTCACCGAGTCGTCGAACCGTTTAGGAAGTATCGCCCCCAGCTCCCTATACTGCACATAACTCAGCACTGCTTTCTGAGTGTCATCAGGCTCGACATCATTGACCTCCCCCTGGGAGAGAGGTTTGATCCCAAGAAGACTGAGTGGAACCCTGATTTTGGAGTAAGGGTCGAACCTGTTGGGGTCAGCCATGTAGTTATTGTACTTGGGAAAGCTGATGTAAGGTCCCAGATGAGCTGGGGTTGACATGAAGGAGGAAGTGTCAGGGAGGACCACTCGCCGGTCGGCCTCTGAGGGTCTGGCCGTTGACAAGGACTTGTCTTCCTTGTACTCCATGGCCTCGTACCCAAAGAGGCTCTCCGAGGTCACAGTGTCCAGCCCCATAACCACATTAGGATCAACAACTTCGAAGGGATCAGTGAACGTGTTGTGTTGGGATCCTGTCACGATCTTCAAATATCTCGCAAGTGCATCTAGGATCTTGTCAGGGCCGTCTCCATTCAGGGAATAAATCCTCTCCCAATTGGCCAAGTGCCTTTTGCTCAGAATAGCCCCTGCAATTGCCACAAGATGAGGCACATAATCCTTATCCTGATTGTGGGTCAGATGGAGATCAGCCAGACTCTCCTCGTATCTCAATAAATTTATGAATAATGATTCAGCGACTAGAACATCAGCACCGTACATGAACTTTGTGATGTTGACAGCTTTGTGGAGGTCTCTTGCCATTTTAACTGCCACATCTCGACTTAGAGCTAGATCTCCGCTTTCAAGAGCACCGAGTTGATAACGAATTTCGATGAAGGCCTCGGAGGTGCAGTTGAAGAGGTCCGGGGGCTGCCAGCCACCGAGTTTGTCATCGCAGGAACGCGAGGACTTGCCCTCGGCTGTGCCTGGACAGTCTTCGATGGCATTCAGGCCGAATTTAGTGCGCGGCCACCAGAGACCTTGGGAGTACGACCTGGGGCAGCCGTCGTAGACTACTTCACATCCTCGGAGGGTTACCTCGGCGTAGGGGTTGGGGCAGTCTGTGCAGGCTCTGCCGATTACTCCCGTTCTGCATCGGCATTGACCTGTTAATGTTAGTTACTGGTTAATTAAATCCCAATTTTTCACAATTTTTGCAGATTTTTTAAGGGTGCCAAGTGAATTTGGCGATGACCTTAAAAATTGACATTCACCAACAAAGTTATAATTTTTTTAATTAATAGTATTAGACAGATGGTGAACATCGGTAACAATTAAAAAATTTTAGAACTTATGGATATCGAGAAATTAAATAAACAAAATCAGTCTTATACACGGCCTCTTATGGAGTTTTGATTAAATTGAACGTTTCAACCCCCTAGGAACTTAAGAAAAATTTGAAAAAATTTGAAGATATGGGGAATGATGTGTTCAATGTGATGGCGACAAAAAACAATGGGGTACCGGGGTGAATAAGAGAGATATTTCAACCCGTCGTACCCATTTGATCCCATGCTTTCTCGAGGTTCGTCACGCGAAATAGAGGATTTTCCGCATTTATTTTCTCGATGTCTAGTTCCGGTTGCGGGTTTGAAATTTCGTCGGATGGATGAATACATATTTCTCCAATGATGGAGGGAAAGAAAA